TGCTTTTACTATAATCCATCTTGCCTCGCCCTAAATGTGTCATATACATATGTATTCAGACTGCTGGTAGTATATATGCATTGATTTTATCAATTAAAAAAATTAAATCTTGCAACATTGCAAGAGAAATGTATAAATCAAGATTATCTGGGTAGAAGAATAAAAACTCCGTAGTTATCACAAGTTAACCTACTTTTTAAGACAAAACTCATTTATCCTTTAATCAGTTTTACCTGATGCCTAGGGCGCCCCACGATGGAGGGAAACACAGCTCTGGGGGCATCATCCCCGGCAAATCCAGCTTTACACATTCCAGATCCATTGTCGATAACTAACGCTGCAACGTCATCTTCGTCAGCCATATTTCAGATGTTGAAAGAGCTTTCTATACACGTATTGCAACCTGAGAGGTGGTTTTGGTAACACTGAGGAAGTCACTTGTTAAGTTTGTTTAAATACTGCAAGGTAGATATAAAGTGAAACAGAACAAAATTGCCTTATAAGGCAAATCCTGCATTGCTATAAATATCTATCATTACTTATTCAAATGCACAGTGTCAGCAGACGACTTTGTGTTCATAGGGCATGATGGGTTAATATCGCTTCAGCAGACTTGTAAATTATCAGGTCCTGTAACATATGTATAACATCCGGTTACATGTATAACATCCGTCAAAATTAAGATAAAACAAGGATGTTCCCTTTCAAAATCCTGTCCACATGTCTGCAATTATGAAACAACTTAAAGCTTTAAATACATCGAAGAGACAGAATCCACCAGCTACAATTACTTTTTTATGTAGATCTGTACTATCCAAGCGTTGAAATTTATGCATTTCTATGTTGTTGTTTTTTTCAGTGGTACTTGGACCCTTCCTATACACTCATATAAAATATATATATAAATTCAGCATATATAGTCATTCAAGCTCAAAAGAAGTTACGGTTTTTTCCTGTTATCAAGGCATATATACTACAATGAGTTACCGCTCTGGTCACAGGCCTTGGGTCCCTGGTCCTTAATTGCTTGCATTAGCCATTTTCAGCTGATCTGTCTTGCAGAAAAAATAGATACTGCATTTTATATCAGTGACGGTATTCAACTTAGACAACACCATTCATTTTCTTTTGTATTTATTTATGTATCTTAATTTTATGTATCAAAATATATAAAATTCAAAAATAAATCAAATGGAGAAAAACATCTGAGGAGATTTATTTGTTCGCTTGTTTGTTTATAACGAGATATTTTTTTTTACTCTTAAATGCCAATTTTTGCGGGTAGAAGGTTCAATTAAGACCCATTTTCGGCACTCGATGCGAAGCATTGAGCAAGCGTGCAGAATGTTTTAGGATTTTTTTTCCCTGCCGTGACACGGGATTTCGTTCGAATTGATCTCGTCCAGAAAAAATACAATGTAATGGTGCAATTTTTTTTAGGTCCCCTTCGTTAATTTAAAAAAAAAAACAACAAAAATCATCGCAGGTATGTTAAGGAAGCATATAAGTCATTTATCGGAAAATTTAGACTTTTGACAGAAAATTAAGTTTGCTAAATTACCAAAACCGCTGATAAATGTAAACTGTTATTAACGATTACATACAGATAAAAGAGTGTCTAACGCAAAGACATGCACCACCACCACGGCATTACGTGAATTCTATTAATAGCGAAATTTTCCTTAATAAAAAAGCTAACAGAACAACAATACCCAGGAGTTTAATGATATTTTTGAGTAAAAAATATAATTGAAAATCATCTATTTTGCCTAAAAAGTGCTGCTAGAATCCCACTGTCCTGTCAGTAAAATAATAATTACACACATTCGCATTAAACCCTACCCTTTGTTTTGAATTTCATGCATATGAACCGAGATTTTTCGTAAAACCATGCTTAACTCAGGATTCTAGCAGCACTTTCCAAGTTTGTCAGAAGGCAAACTTTCCAACTATACAAATCTTATGTTTTGAAATATCCAGCTTATTGTTGTTCTGTTGCATTATTCTTGTCATAAACGACAGAGGAAAGGCCGACCGGGATAATAATATAGCTGACTGTCTTCGATTGAAAATAAAATTGATGAAAATAAATTAAGCATATCTGTTTATTTTATTGAACTCCATATGATTTTCACAGAATATTCACGATGTTTTCTTTTAATCTCCATTTTACCTATATTTGTACACTCCGTCTTAGCCAAATTCTCTTTACACGACATGATCAATTCCCAAGTTACTCGATATACACATATGACGTCACTGTTGGTAGATTTCAATAAAAATGACAGATACAGCATAACAAAATTAAAATATTTTAATTTTTGAGAATGTTTACACGTTTCTATTCAATTTCTAGAGTTGATTACATCTCTAAATACCACAATTACGCAAACTTGTGTTCTAAAATTGACGTCATATCGCCCACTATGACGTCATAATATAGCACTGATTAAGTCAAGGTAGAATATTTCATATGCTTCCTTATTACCCCTGCGATCATTTAAAATATCCATAAAGCACTGATTTCAAATAATGTACATGGCTGATCCACCAGATGATACTGTATTCGCGTACGAATCCTTACGGATATCAACATCACAATTCATGATGCTGTTGCATGTCGTTTCATGAAGACCATTTTACTCCATTCCAAGGAAGGATGGTTGGAAACATGGCTTCAGGACACCTGAATCGTTCATTTCCAATCGTGATGACCTTGCCATCGGGAAGTTCGTAACTCTTTTCTAACGATGATGATGACGCAGCTGTTTGCATCTTTGCATTACCTGTTCGAAGTCCAGAGCAATATAGCACAGTTTTTCTTTAATATCTCTAACGATTTCTCTTTCAGCTGTTGTTGTGAATGAGTATCCAGGTTCTGTGAGGATTTTCATGAGATAATCGGTTGGATCACCTGCAGCAAGATCCAATCATACAGTCCTTGAAACGTTTTACTTTCCCTTTTTTCCGTTCTCTCACCGTTCGTTCAGCGTTCGTATACCTTTCGTTCAGAATTTTAAACTACACGTAGGTCTGAGAATTATGAACAGCACTGCAAATATTCAGTTAATTAAATCTCTTTAGAGCTAATCAAATTGTTAGTGTGATTCTAAATTTAAAATTGTCAATTTTTAGAGAAGGGAAATTCCTTCATTCACCGTACCTAAATATATATTTGCCATTCATTATAATTAAGACCCCCCTCCCTTTTTCTCGCGAAATAAAATTCTAAGTGAGTTTTTTCAGTATATATTTTAATTAATATTTAATGTGTATTGTAACTCAAGAAAATCAGTCTTAAAACCAACATCAAACAGTCATTAAACAAAAGTATTTCAAAATACAGTAAAACACGGTTATAGCGAAGTCATGGGGACCTGTGAATTTAATTCGCTATATTCTTAATTCGTTATATCCGTATAACGAATTCGTATAACCATGTATAGCGAATTCGCAATATGCATGTTTTCCTTCAAGTTACTATAAAATATGTTAGGGAAGCAAATATTACAAAATATACCTTCGATAACTAAGGTTTTATTATGAATTTTATATACAAATGCTTAGAGAAAATATAGTCAGTTTAATTTATCAAATTTCGAATTCTTTGAAAGTTCGTTATAAAAGATGTAAAATGCATTATATTTAACCTCAAAGGGACTCAAAATCAGTTCGCTATATCCGTAAATTCGTTATATCAGAGTTCGTTCTAACAGTAAAATTTTACAAAGATTTGTTAAGAATTTTGCCGGGGACCCCAAAAAACTTCGTTATATCCGAGAATTCGCTATATCCGTGTTCGTACTAAACGTGTTTTACTGTATACTTTAAATTAGCAGTGAATATTTTTCAAATTCAATTTAAAACTTAATCCTTCCAAGTATATATTCCCATTATTTATTTTTTTTTCTGCAAAAATCAGATCTTGAAATAATAAGGAAAAATATTAAAACTTCCTGAAAATACTTATTGACTCTTTGCCTTCTGCATGTTAGGTGAAATGCGATTTCCACACCTCCACTGAGTCGAATTATTTTGATTGACAGGACAAGCACGTGGACTTCCTGTGAACTGTGAAAACTTGATGAAGGAAAATAAAAGCTAATGATTACTGTCAATGGATTTGTTAATCTAAAAAAAGATTACCTTTACTTCTTGGAATATTTAGAAAAAATAATAAAAAATTTTATTTGATACAACAGATATCTGAGAATCGAGGGGGTCTCTCTCTCTCTCTCTCTCTCTCTCTCTCTCTCTCTCTCTCTCTCTCTCTCTCTCTCTCTCTCTCTCTCTCGTACATTTCTCTGTTCAATAAAAACCATGACAGGACATTACTTTTTTTAGTTTTGCAAATTTATTCTATTACAAATAATTTGAATGCCTCCTTCCATTATCTTCACCGAGTATAATCATGGCCGGGAAATGTCTACAGATACATGAAGAAGTTAGCTAAAATAATCATCATAGAATAATACAAAAGACACATATATATAGAATATTTTGCATTAGTATTTAAGAAAACGAGAATTTTTATGCAATACGTCAACAGACAATTGTGAATTAAAAAAAAGATCCGTTATTTTACTCAGAATCGCCTTGGCACGGAAATACACGTATGGTTGTTTCAACCGCGTACAATGTAATTTATTCATTCTATAAGTGGTAGTTATATCTTCAAAAGTCCACATTTTATTAGTGAAAAGAATAGGCATATTTACTATACAAATAGATTAATTCTATATTTAAACTATACGCGTTCGGTAACAAATAAACATGTTTACGGCAATTAAAATCGTGTTATAAAAATATCGATTTAAAACATAGGTACATATATGTACAAAAAATGTTTTTATTATTCATTCATTTATTTATCTATTGTTTATTTATAAGTACCTGAAATTAGAATTGAAGAACAATATAATAATTTCAATGAAAGGAAACGATCGGAGGCATTCCGAATAAATCGTTCATCTTGCATTCACCGATCGTTCACCGTTCACTTTGCCCTCGAGTTCGCGCTCCGTTCGCGTTCTACATTCACTAACCATTAACTGTTCACATATCGTTCACCAAGTTGCGTTCAGTGTTCGCACATCGTTCATTCGCCGTTCGCTCTGCGTTCGTTAACCGTTCGTTCAGCGTTCGTTCACCGTTCAGGTGGGAAAGTAGAATGATTTAGGGACTGTAAAATAGCGTGGGGAAGAGCGTCAGCTTCATAAATTGGTACTGTGTGGGAGACACCGTCTCCAGAGTCGAGTACAATTCCAGTTGTACGACCGGAAGCATACAAAGAGAGAACAGTCTGGATAGCAACGTACATGGCAGGAGAATTAAAGGTTTCGAACATAGTCTGTGCCATCTTTTCTCTGTTGTCATTTGGGTTGAGTGGGGCTTCAGTTAAAAGTACGGGGTGCTCCTCTGGGGCCACACGAAGTTCATTGAAGAAGGTATGATGCCAGATCTTCTCCATATCGTCCCAGTTTGTGACGATGCCGTGTTCACTGGGGTATTTGAGAGTGAGGATACCTTTCTTACTCTGGGCCCCGTCTCCTACATAGCTGTCCTTCTGTCCCATGCAGACCATAACACCCTGAAAATAAGAAAAGTATGCATAAAATATAACATGTAAAATTTTTGGATAAAGTCAGCACTCAGCTAATTTGAAATTTCTAAAGAGGGGCATCGGCGAATTCCTAAATGAACCCTGACTAACATGTATATTTTTTAACCCACATAATGTACCGGTAATTAAAATAAAAATAATATTATTATTCAAATAAATATAGATCATGATAATTGTATTTTTTTTTAAAAAATCCATAGTTTTATCACATCTAATTCTTAACTAATGGATCATTCCAATGGTTTTATTGTACATCATGGCATTGGCTTCAGACATTTACACAATAATTAGTTTTTGTTACTGGAACACTGTTATCTTTCATACATTCATTCATTACATATAATTCATGTTCTGTTTTCATTGTACTGACATGATTTGATCCTTTTTTATCCTGGTTTTACTTCAGTCCATCTTGCCTAGTCCTAAATGTGTCATATACATGTATGCATGTTCTGACTACTGGTAGTATAGACACATGGATTTTATCAATTCAAAATGAATTAAATCTTGCAACATTGCAAGAAGGATATGGATCGAACGAACATTTTTGTTTTAATATGAAGTCCAAAAACCAATACAAAATAGGAGCAGAGCAAACATTAACCTCTAAAATATCAGAGGTGGGATCAGGTGCAAGTGAAAAATATAAATCAAGATTATCTGTGTAGAAAATTGTATAGTTTCATGACCTCAAAAGTTAGTTTTAAGACAAAACCAAATAATGTTTAAATGATTTTTTACCTGATGTCTAAGGCGCCCCACGATGGAGGGAAATACAGCTCTGGGGGAATCGTTCCCGGCAAATCTAGCTTTAGACATTCCGGATCCATTGTCAATAACTAACTCTGTAACATCCTCGTCACCTATTTTACATATCCTAAAAGTACTTTCCTCTTATTGCAACCTGAGAGGTAGTTTTGTTCAAATACTGCAAGGTAGATATTAAATCAGGCAGAAAAAAATGCCTTATATGGCAAATACTGCATTGCTATAAATATCTATCATTACTTGCTCAAATGCACAGTGTGGTATGAAGAACACTGAATACAGCAGACGACTTGTTGCTCTTATGGAATGACTCGTTAATATCGATTCAGCAAACTCAAATTATTATCATATCCTCATAAATTATACCCTCTAATATGTATAACATCCGTAAATATTCAAGTTCAAATAATTATGCTCCCTTTAAAATCTTGTCTGGCCATCTATATGGAAGTCTTAAGCATCTTAAATCTTTATATACATCAAAGTGACAGAATCACTACATGCAATTACTTTTAACCGCTAAGCGCGCATGTGCAAGCGCTTACTAGGATTTTTTTCAGATTCCATGATGATTTTCATGATCTTTCAATCAACGACCTCTACCAACTACATATATCAGGGCTTCATTCCAAACAATTGTTGTTAATAAACTTGTGCGTAGTTAAATGCATGCCTTATGGGATGGAGAAAGTAATATTTTCCAAAATACGGGTTAAAGGGTGGTAAATACTATAAAGTACAGTATGATGCAATACTGTAAACATATTTCATTTGGCTGTGTATTCTATTCAGCGCTTTCGGCGAAGAGAAACTTCCGCTAATTCAAGTACAACGCTAAATGTATTGCACACACAAACAATCAGAAATGCGCTAAATCATATTTTGGCTAACTTGTTCAAAAACCTATTTCCATCAAATATCGTACACGTTAAATATAATACATTTGCAGTATATATTCGGACATATGGCGCCGTGTTTAAATTTTCGTCATGTAAGTTACATATTTCGATGTAAATAAAAAGGTTTAGAATTTCGAATTAGAAATATCGTTTGAATTTTGCGTAGTTATCTTTAAATTGCGATGGTCATTCGACATTTGATATGTCACGTGATTTTATTTTCGTCTGCTTTGTTTTCAAAATTTGACGGCTGAAAGTAATATATATGGGTCGATAAGGAGAAAAACGCAGAATTGAGGTTAAAGATGTCGCCAAGAAATTACTAGATGGGGGAAAAACTGCCAGGTTGAAAAAAAAAACCTTCTGAAGAGAGATGTTCAACAAAAAACTTTCCGCGAAGTGTTTGACAGCCTACTGTAATAGATCGTGATCGTGAGTCTTAGAAATGTTAGTATAAAAATAACAGGAGGAATAGTTTTACGGAAATTACCAATACATTCAATGAAAACAGGAATATTAAAGTATCTAAGCATACCTTACAACTTCATTTACTCAAACAAGGATTTACAAGACGTGTATCGAAGAAGAAACTAGTAATAAGGGAGGTAAATCGAAGAAAGATATTGTCAATGTGCCGGGAAAAAAGGTTATTTCTGGAATGATTTTGGAAGAAAGTTATTTTCTTGGTCGAATCAAGTATTGTTACTGGACGTGATTCAAGGGTATATGTTTAGATGAAGGTATATGTTTAGATGAGGGTATATTACTTTGAATATTAATGGAATTGGTACCATCACGACAGTAAATGGAAAAATAACAGGGTATTCTTGATTACAATCTGTGGTCAATTACAGCACACCATTTCCCCTGTGGTGACTATATATTCCAGGACGATTGTGCCCCAGTACATCGTGCGAGATCTACTCAGGAATTTATACAAAGAAAAAGAATAACTGGAATGAGCTGTCCTGCACAAAGTCCAGATATCAATATCATTGAAATTCGAAGGTTGCTATATAATCAAGAGAAAGCTACAAGCACGAGTTGGGAGGCTTATGAGTAAGGATTATCTTTTCCGCGAAATCTTCGAGTGTATTTGGAGGGAGATCAGCCCAGACTTCATTAAATTACTCTACCGCTCTATTCCCCTGAGATTAATGGATGTAATTCGTCTGAAAGGGCATCTCACAAACTCGAAAATTGACCTAGTTTCGTATCAAATGTAAACACGTCTCCATCTTGTCCGAATATATATTGCATCATACTGTAGATAGTCACAAGTAGAAACCACGAGGTGTGCAAATTCTGAAGTTCGTATTCAAGTTTTGTCAAAATATATCGCAAATATTTGTGAACAATCAGAATTTAAGGGACACTATACAAAACTTTCTTTGAAAACAACAGCGGTGATCCGCTTGTAAGCTAAGATTGCAGAACAGCTGAAAACAGAAATTTATTGATTGATTGTACATTGTTTAACTTCCCTCTCGAGAAATTTTCACTCATATCACTCATATGGAGACGTCACCATGTGACGGTAAAGGGCTCCAAATTTAGACCTATATTCGGCACTCAGGATCATTGAGGTCATATTCGAAAGACCCGTGAATTTCACTTCTAGTGCCGAGCGCTTGGCGAAGGAACAGTCACTACCAATGTTTTCATCTTAGGTATGACGCGGCGCCACGAACAAGAATCCTGGGCCTCCTGATCATGAACCAAACGCTCTACACTAGGCTACTGTGCCAGGTCTAATAACAAAGAAAAACGGACCACAAATATATTACAATTTGATTGATTGATTGATTGATTGTATATTGTTTAACGTCCCTCTCGAGAATTTTTCACTCATTTGGAGACGCCACCACTTGCCGGTGGAGGGCTACAAATTTTTGTCCTATGCTCGGCACTTAGGGCCTTTGAGCAGTGAGGGATCTTTTTCGTGCCAGCACCTACTGCGACACGGGGCCTCGGTTTATACGGTCTCATCCGAAGGACCGGTCTCCACATCAGTGGGATTCGAACCAGTATTACAATTTGATCATACAAATGAACGAACAATGAACAGCAGAATTAAGAGACCATGAAAAAGATGAAAAAATTTGTTATCCTTTTCCCATACATGATCCTGCTTGCAGTACGTTTTAGTGAGATTATCATTTCATTATGAAATATGCCTTTCTTTTTAAATATTTAAATTCTTGTCGGATATATTTCTAAATATTCAAAGGATGGATCTACTACGTTTAGCATTCACGTAAAAATGTTGTGAAAAGGATGAGAAGTCTGTTTATTAACAGAAATACTGAATCTGAATGTGGATGTTGTAAAATTATTATGCTTCAGGGTATAGGATATACTGAAACACAACATCCTATTTTAGAGGGGAAAATAAACTTCCTTTACTTTGCAAGCATTGATAACGGTTGTTTAGTTTTCATGCCATAGCCGGAATTAATTTGAGCCCGTTTACCAGAAATCAAAGCGTACATGTTTATCAAAACATTTGACAAAACTGTTTGGGTTTTTTTAAAGGATTTATATCTGTTTATCATATGTTATGCAGGAATATTCGCAAAATAAATTCTCCTTTCCTTTCAAGAAGAGATTCCAAGGCTCCCTGAAAACGACTTAAGTACGCATTTCCATTGCTATAGCTGGAAAATTTTTAAATAAAGGTGATGGAGAGTTGCAGATGCACAAATGCATCATAACATGCCCTAACATGCTCATTCCTATCATAAGAATGAATGACAGTTCTTGGACCGGAAGTCCAAGTGTTAATACACTGCATTAGGTTAGAGAAAATTCAAGATAGATGAACCTATTGCATCCTGGAAATTCAGCTGCAATTGTTTTGCATGTCAGACTTTTATAGACTGTTATTGAATGGCTGATGGGGATGTGTTTTTACAGTAATTTTATGTGTTACTTTCTAAAATTAAAAGATAATCATTTAACATTGTTGCGAAATATCTGATGTTTTTAAATCAAGTTTAACCTAATTGTATTCATTTTTGAAAATCATTAGTTAAAACATATATTTGTAAATAACTGCTTGTTGCATTCGTTTTTCGTTTTAGAATGCGGCTTTTTTGCACCGGATTTGTTCTAAAATGATTTACTGTTAAACATTTTATATACAATTGTTTGATATTTTTATTTATTATCCTTCAGAATTATACAGTCAATCTGATTGGTTTAGAGCAGGTCACGTGCAGGGAGACAACTCGTGATGTCTCCCTCACGCGCAGGGTGACAACTGTTATCTCCCTTCAGATGACAATGAAATAGTGTAAGCGAGCATGCAAGGTTACAACTGTGATGTCGCCCTTTGAATAAAACTACAGTGGTTTAAGCGAGATAACTCCTATTTATAAGTATAATGGCTAAATATGCGGGATCGGTAAACAATAAATTCTAACGATGACATAAAAGTTGTCTGTTGACATATTTTGAAAGTATGGAATCGGAGCAGAGTAGAAGAAATAAGAGGTTTGATTACTATTTTCTACTCTTTCTAATTGATAATTGTATATTCTTCAGAATAATAAAACTATTATGGACTGTTTAAAAGGGAGACATCACCAATTATCAGGTCTGAGTAGGGTTGTCAACCTCGGGCGCAAGCGCCCTCGGGTGACAACCCTACTCAAATCTGATAATTGGTGATGCCTCCCTTCTAAACAGTCCATAATTGTATTATAATAATATTATTATGCTTCCTGTCAGTTTGTCTCTGTATAACCCATACCCTACTATTCTCGCATAGTGTTCTAAGGATTTAAATAGCGTAATCATACTATGCTGAAATAGTGCACGGCTTCCATTTCTGAAGAAAATTCGACCACGCCCACGCCGAATAACGAACTCACGACCCCGGTATTCAGAATAAGTTCAGGCAAAGTTCAGACATTGAATATTTACATCAAATGAGAATACTTGAAAACTAAGGTTTAAAATATAAAATATATATATAAAAAAAAAATTACTGAAACTTCAGACATACATATTCATACATGTAACTCATAAATTTGTGAGAAACATATGCAACTCATTAACAAACTGTTGGAAGAAAATGAATTTTTTTTTTATTTCAAGACAGTGTCTGACTCTTGGGTTGAAAATAATTAGTCTTTTGAAAAAGTATATATATATTTGATGGGATCTTCAGTAGAAGAGTGTTTTTGCAATGAATGCTGCATCTGAGGCCATCATGACAGTAGAATGTACAATATACAGTGCTTGAGTTAATTTCATTTTATTGCTTAGCCTATATTCAACAAAACGGTGGAAAACCCTAAATTATAAGATACAGGGCAGAAACATTATAAATCCCGCCAATGGGAATTTCACCAACAGCTTCAGTCAGGGAAACTGAACTAGCGTAATTGTAGATAAATACAAAACTTTTTTTGGATTAGAAATTTAGGCATTTGTCAAATTATTATGTTCTTGCAATTTAAACATGTGATTCATGCAATCTTGAGAGAGAAAAAAATCTTATTTTGTTAGCTAATTAACGCATAACAAAAATTGATATGGTTCACACATAATTGAAGAGGACAATTTAGCTGGGAACTTG